TTGAGGAGAGCGCGCCTCGTGTATACGAGTACATAGAGGTGGTGCAGCGCGGAGAAGGGCATGGCCTGCGACCGCGACCTGATCCGAGTGGGGTTGACGTACCTGTCCGCGACAAATGTGTATGGATATGTATGGACAGAGGTCGGCAACAGCGGGAGGCCGTTCGCTTGTGTAAAAAATGATTTTTGCAGTTTCAATTATTTTATTCGAGAGCAATAATTAAAATATAATAAATTCTTACATTATTTGGTATAATAACATGCATCTACAGCAGCTTAAACTTATTATAGACCTGAGTATTTTATGTGAATTTCAATTTAATATCTGTAAGCGTTCACGAGCAAAGGAAAGGGGTACTTAGTTTAAAATTATTCAAAATGTTTTTATTGTATGATGGAACTAAAAATGTACGATGTTGGCAATTTTTCTATTACCTGTGCTATACGACGTTGCTTCATGCCAAATTTCAAGATTCTAAGTTCACCAGAAGTACCCTGTAGGTTTTAATTGCTTACGATTGTCAAAAATTTGCATAAATTTGTGACATAAACGGTTGTATCTTTTTATTACGTTGGTTTAGAAGTTTAACTTTTTCACAGCACCAAGAGACCGCAGACTTGAGTATTTGATATCATCCAGATTGATACCTTCTCGGCTTTTTGAGAAAAAGGGTTTTGACAGACAGACGGACGGACAACAAAGTGATCTAATAAGAGTTCCGTTTTTTCCTTCCGAGGTACGGAACCCTAAAAAAAGTACGAGAAGTCAGCTATTTCCTTCATCGCGTGATAAAAATAGGCAGTGTTAAATGCAATGCTAAATCCTTTGAAAATGACTCTCACAAAAACCTCAACCACATATCTGAGGCTTTGAGATATCAGAAGAAGAAAAAACTGGTGAAGTGCGAGTCAGACTCGCGCCCCGAGGGTTCCGAACAAACCTGTAGGTGTAATTAGAAGTTCACCTACTCGTATCACTACAATCGAGTCATAGTTAAAAGAGTAATAAGTTTATAATTTTAAAAAAATAATATGATATAGCAAAATAGCTTTTTTTTTGATTGTGTTGATATAGAAGTTTGATTTTGTGACAGCATCAACCGACCGCAGACCTGAACATTTGATATAAATTCCAGCTTGATATCTTCACGCGTTTTTGAGAAAAAAGGTCTTGACAGACGTACGGACGGACAACAAAGTGATCCTATAATCCCACCATGACACACCAAGCACAAAACTGCTCTCGCAACATTTGCGTCAGTAGGTCAGCGGTGAGCATTTTTATAAAACGAAAACTACCTGATCCCCAATGTTAAGCAATGCTAAAATTAGCGAAAAGAGGCGTAGAATATATTAAAGTATAAATAGGTAAAGTAAATCTGACCGGAATAGCGACCCTGCAAAGTTGCTTTGGTGGAGAGAAAACTGCTGTAGTTGCTTTTTCTTGTCCTTAGTCACCTCACATCTAAAGAAATTTGTTTCTCGGGAGATCTTTAAGTCCAGTCAAGAAGACGATATTATGTCGAAAAATGTAATAATTTTACATGCCTTAAACTCGTAGTCTTTCTTACTTATAACTATTTGCCTTTCCCTTGTTACGTGATTTATCGTACTAATTAATATATAGGGCCTATGAAGTACCGACACAAGGCGTCAGGCGTGTGCGGGGAGTGCGGGGAGTGCGGGGAGCGCGGGGAGTGCGGGGAGCGAGGAGTGCGCGGGTCGCGGGGCGGGGGCGAGCGCAGTGCCGTGCCGCTCCAGAGCGTCGCGCACTTGCGCCGCGCTCGGCCGCTTGCTCGGGCACCGCTGCCAGCACCACTGCAGCAACTGCCGTCTGAAACAGTCAAACGTCAGTATCTCCGTCCAAATCAATAGTTACCATTCCTTAAGAGTATCATCATCTTTCGACCATATTACAACTTAACATTAGGATACGTCGGGATCGTGGTGAAGCGTCATGTTGTAAAGGCGGCCATCAGGACCCTAAATTCATTATAAAAGTCTTTTTGGGCATGGGCACAGGAATTACACGAAATAATTCCCTTATTATAATACTATTTTACCGGAGGTGTATAAGCTTTTGGTCACATCAACACTCGACATCAGGTGGGATTGTGGCCGAGGGCTGGTTTAATCATTGTAGAATAAAAATGAAAGAAAAAGAAAAGAATCCCAGATATAATACAGACGTGTCGGGCGAGGCGGTGGCCGGCAGCGGCGGGTGGTCTCCGGCGCGCAGACCGGCCACGATGTCTGCCGTGCTGCGCGCGCCGTACGGCGGCTCGCCCAGCGTCACCAGCTCCAGCATGAGCACGCCCAGCGCCCACACGTCCGACGCCGCGGAGAACACGCCGCTCAGGAGGCTCTCGGGCGCCATGCAAGAGGCAGGCAGACGTCTAAGATTTTGCCATATGTATTCTTCCTCCTCTTCGGCGAGATGGCGTGCGAGACCGAAATCGGCGAGTTTCAAGTTGCGCGTCTCGTCTACCAGACAGTTGGCGGCTCGTATGTCGCGGTGAACGATGCGGCGCGCCTCCAGGTAGCGCAGCGCCGCGGCCGCCTGTCGCGCCAGCCGCGTCAGCGCCGCGGCCGACACGTGCGCCGCTTCCGTCGCCTCCGCCTCCGCCTCCGCTTCCGTCTCCGCCTCGCCCTTGAGACTCGCCGACTCCGCGAGCGGGCGGCGCGCACGCAGGTAATGCCGCAAATCACCAAAGAAAGCGTATTCCATAAAAAATACCGCCCGACCGTCCAAGCACACTCCCTCGAAACGTATGATATTTTCGTGATTCAAAGAAGCCAAGACGCCCGCCTCGCGGATGAGCTCCGCCTCGTCCTGCAGGCGCTCCAAGGCGGGCTCCTTGGCCGCCACGGCGTGCGCGGGCGCGCCCGGCCGCCGCAGCACCGCAACACGTACGCGCCCGTACGCTCCGAAGCCCAGCTCCTCGCGCAGCTCGAACTGGTTGCGCGACACCAGGTTCGAACTGAACCTGGAGGAATTGTTCTTACGCTGCTCCTGCAGCTGCTCGAACAGGGCGAGGTCGCGCAGCTTGAGGCGGCGGAGGCGCGCCCGACGCGCGTACGTGAGCGCGAGGGTGGCGAGCACCGCCAGCGCGAGACAGACCCACCAGACGTTGTCGTGGCAGCGCGGCGCGAAGACGTCCCCGGAGTGCGTGGTGTAGCAGCGCGCGGCGGCCGGGGCGCGGGGGCAGCAGGCTCGCCCGGCGGGGGCCAGCTGGCGCACTCCGCCCGCGCCGGCTTGCCACACGGCCAGCAGCTCGCGCCGCGCGTCGCTCCAACGCTCCACGAACACGAGCGCGCTCGACACCTCGTATGAACTTCTGTTGTATACCACTTCTTGGATAATTCCTTGGAATTTGCTTGCACTTATAGCCGTATCAAAATTTCTGTAACAATACATAATTTTGTCAAAACGAAACAGTTGGGTATTTAACAATTTTTGTATCGCGTTGTGCTCACTCTGTATTCGGTGGTCGCTGGAGCCGACTTACTTTGTGTTGTTTACGAAGCTTAATTTAACTTTAGATAACGTTTACATCATATTCGTCCCTTTTTTACTTGTAAAGACAATTTGCGAACGAGAGCCACTTATCATAAAATTTTATTCAATGAATGTTACAATGAATGATGTTTGCTTTTTTTCATTTCATTGTATAAGAAGATTAGGCAAGCGATAAAAGACGGTGGGGAACGCGAAGTTCCCTTTAAGTAGTAGGGTTGCCTCGATGTCTGATTATGGACACTTACTGGGCATTTCCGAAGACGTAACGGTCGTAAACGCTGTCAGGGCGACTGCTGACGAAATCCGCAACCGTCCGATTGAAAAGTCGCAAGCCGTCCAAGATCGGCGCGGCCAGAGGCGGCCAGGCGCGGTCGTGCCAGCGCGCCTCGAGCGCCTCGAGCGCCTCTAGCGCTCGCGCGCCGCCCGGCCACCACTCCGCGCCCGCCGCGCCGCGCCACGCAACGCCCAGCGCCAGCGGTCGCGGCTCCCCCGGCCCGCAGCGCCCCGCCGCGCGCCACTCGCGCACCAGCCACAGGTACTCCCCGCCCGCCGCCATGCGCAGCCGCCGCGCCGCGCAGATCACCTCCGCGCATAGCGTCGCGTTGGCGTTCACGAAGTACACCCGCGCATCTGCATCTCTGAACTCCCGCAGAGCGCTTTCGATACTTTCCAGGGACGTTACGTTTCGCTGCCGCATCACTATATAGCTATGACGAATCGCATCCGTGAACTCGTCGGTGAGCGCCGTTCGCTCGGTGAGCACGGCTAGGCGCCGCACGCCACACTCCTCGAGGAGGTGCAGAAAGGCGAGCGCCAGCAGCCGCGTGGAGCCCGCGACGCCGCGCACCACTCTGTTGGGGCTAAAGGCGGTGGGCGGCGCGCCGTACGCCAACAGCGGGCGGGCCATCCTCTCCGCCTTGAGCGCGGCGCCGGCGCCCGCGCTCGCGGCCAGCCAACCGACCACGTGCTGCTCTTTCCACTCGTCCTTTTCTGAAAATAATTCATCGCCGATGACGTCGCCGCGTTCACAGTCGATCGTCTTATATTCGATAATAATCGCCGCGACGGTCGTCACTTCGGCGATCGATGCGTTGCCGAAAACGGCCTTGCACATGTTCTCGTATTCCGCGCGGTCGGGGTCGTCCCTGCATAGAAATAAACGTATCGTTAAGTCGACGCGATCTTCCGAAGCCCGATCGGTCTGTCGCAGGTTTGACAGGGCCCAGTCGCAGGCGCACTTCTCCATGTCGCCGTCGTGCTGCAATTTGTATGCGAGCACTTTTCTTATATCTGCGGCAGACGGCGCAAAGGTCTCGACGACTCGCCTGACGTGAGGCGCAAATCTATGTATCCCTATCGTTATAGCTTTTTTCGATATCGGTATTCGTAAATTTAATTCGTCGAGACGGTAGGATCGGTTGTCGAGATTGCAATAGGGCAGCTCGGGCATGACTCGTACGGAGCTATCGTAGGCCTCGAGAGGTTTGTCGAAAAGGAGCAATGAATGGTTGTATGCAGCCGCGAGGGCGAACAGCGGCTCCCACAGCAAGATACGTAGCGGTCGCGCCGGGCAAGTCACGCGCCGCACCAGCGCGTCCGCCTCGGCGGCCAGCCGCATCGGCGCCACCAACACTGCGCAACGCGTGCACTCGCCCGCCTCCCCCGCATCGCCCGCATCGCCCGCCGCGGACCTCGCCAGGTGGCTATGTACAAACGGTAGCTATAGTCTTTAATGAGAGATGCCTCTCATATGCCATAAGAGTCGCAAGTATTATTCAGTTTGTACCAACAGTTTGTCGTGAGGCGTTAGGTCGGCAACGCTGAGGAAGGCGCAGTGGGTGGGCGGGGTGAGCGGCGGCCAGTGCGCGGTGTCGGGCGCGCAGCCCAGCCCTGGCCGTATCTGCAGTCGCGGGCGCTGCAGGAACTCGCAGCTCGGACTTACACTCATCTCGAACCTGCTTAACAAACGTAACTCATGCAACAGACAAAGTTATCTAACAGTGTCATTCGAAAAAAAACGTTTCCAAATTAAAATTTCATCAGAGAACAAAAATCTTGTAAATTCAAGTTTCTATCCGTCTATAGAACGTCGACGGCTCAGGGGTTTAAGCACTTATCTTGCAGTGTCTGTGAAGAAAAACATCGTGATGCAACCTGCACATGTTTGTGAAGAAATTCATAGATATGCGTGAAGTGACACAACCCGCACTGGGCCGGCGTGGTGAGAACGTATAGTGAGCTGATGATGATGACGATCCACAAAAAAATAAAAGAGATTATGCGGCGCATTATTATTGTTCTGATATAAGTGTTTGCGAGCCCCCGTACACTTTATAAGAAAGGTTTGTTCTACAAGAAGGTGTAATATATCAACCACAAACCATGCTTTTCATATGAATAAAATCTGTTACAGACTTATCGAAATAACTGAATATAAGTATTATAAAATATATTCATAAACTTTGGAGGCACCAAGGGCCTAAACTACGACCCGAATTCGCAGCGGTCAGCCGCTTCGTCATAATATGCTATACAGTTACAATTATCAGATTTACATGTCCTTGGCGTTTGGCTTGCGGAGGCGCACATCCTCGTAGCCGTTGTGTCGCAGCGCGGCGGCTAACATTGCGGCCAAAGCGAGCCCCGCCAAGCCCTCGCCGGCGCTGGGCCTCACCGCCAGCTTCTGCGCCGCGCCGTGCGCCCACAGCGCCCGCGCGCGCCCCGCGCCCGTCTCCAACTCGACTGCCGACAACTTTATATTCAGTAACGTAAAGACAAGCTGAAGCCATGTTGCGGGACAATTTTTGCACCTTGTCGAGGTCTTAGTTGCAGGACCGCAAGGTGATTTTCCGGACACCGGGCTCGGTCATCGACTATGTTTGTTTATTAACTTGGACAAATCTTGTAACTTAAATTAGATCCACTTCCCGATATCAGATTTGTACACTATTAAAATCCAAGATGTCCGCAATTAAAATGGCTTTTTACCAGCACACCAACAACCTTATCATCAAATGAAAGGATTTAGGTAATAGCAGAACAAACATCATGCATTGTGATGAAATCTAAACCAAAACATTATCAATAAAATTATAAATAAATTGCAAGAATTGATATAAAAACGGCTAAACACTCACGTATATTCGTCCGGTGGCGGCACCGACTAGTTTCGAGGCCATCGGGGGCCCTTCATCAGGATGAGTGGTACTGGTACTGACGCAGTGAGCGACGGGCCGCGTCCGCGAAATAATACCAGTACGACTCATGCTGATGAAGGGCCACCGATGAGCTCGAAACTAGTCGGTGCCGTCACCAGACGAATATACGTGGGTGTTTAGACGTTTTTTATATATTAGTTTAGTATAATGTCTCACGAAAGTTTGAATAATTTAAATTACAAGAAGTAGGAATTTATTAAAAAAAAATAATTTCTTGTTTATATATAATATTTTCTTAAAACACAATCTATATAAATGTTTCGAGACGATGCCGGGCGAAATTCGACCGCCCAGTGTCAGAGCCTCGTTAATGACTTTCTATTAATGAATGATCAAAATAACAAACATGATGAACCTCCGTCAGTCGGCGAGAGAAACATTTCGACATTGACAAACTCACACCGTGTCACCAGCCGGGCGCAGAGGTCCTCCTGCGCACCGGCGCAAGACAGCGCCGCCAGCGCCAGCGCCAGCGCCAGTGCTGTCAGCCACGCCGGCGCCGGCTCACTCGCCGCGCTCATGTTCGCTGCAGCAAACGCCGACTATAACCACTATAAGCTCCGTACTGTAAATAACGCAGAATTCGTTTTTTGCTCACAAGTGTATACGTTTTTTGAACGTTTTTATTTAACTTGCTCAATTTGTTTGGGCCAAGCTGAGGTCGTATTTTATTTATTTTTATGTAAATATTGTACTGCAAATGACAACATCGAGAAAATTTGCCACAAAAAGGTCTCGAAGGCCGAAACGTTTAGTATCAGAGGCTTTGCTTTAAACTGAGTTACCTATGAATAATAACTGGTGATGAATTTAAACAAGTTTGAAAATCTTGGCACTATTTATATCCGCCATAAGAACTGAAATTTGAACTGGGTTTTCTCAGATGGATTGACGATGTGGACTCGCTGCTGCACACCGCTCTCGTCGACTACCTGAACTGCTTAAATTTTCGCGCGATTTAAAAAACGGGACAATTGTACGTCTCGGTGACACCGGATACATAACTATAAAAAGATATATATATAACCCGTCCCGTGTTGAACGGGACGTCTGCTCACGTTACGTATACACTACTTTTACGTATTTAATATTAAATTGATTAGCAATAACTTCTTGAAATGACGAGCGAAATACTGGTGGTATGGTTCATGCACGGACATAATATAATCGATTGACATTCACTTGTTGTGTAAAAAGTTTAAACCGTACCAGAAATTGTTGTCGTGTTGTTATCTGCGAGTTGCAAGGCGGTGCTCTGTGCTTTGTGCGTCGTTGGCGCGACCGCGTGGCTTGGTCTGCGCGGCGCGGCGCGGCGGCTGTGGTCCCCGCGTCACCCCCGCCCCGCACTGCGTTAGCGCACCAACATGCCTCGTTAATTATTATTATGTAGGACTGTAGAGGAAATTAAATATTTTCCTTGTACACAGCGCTCTAAATTTATCACAAAAGAAGTGAAACATGATATTTCATACAATTTCCTTTAACAGAGGTAGGAGTTATCCGTAGTCTTAACTATTGCACGACGAGGCCGCATACCCGATGAGATACCACCGCCAACACTACACAGCAGATGATGACTGATAAAACGGAGTGATTGACTGACTGATTCATTTTAAGATCTAGTTAGTTAGTTAGAGTCTAGAGATATAAACAGTGAGATAACAGTTTATGTAAATAATGTTATTCCTTCAGTAGAATAACTTGAAATCGACACTTACTTTTAAGGAACAATAAATAACTGCGCCTCTCTGGCTCTATCGACTACATACGCATTGAATTTAAAAGTCTAAATAGAGTAATAATTTGTTTTTAAATTTTACCAAGGAAACAGCTAGTGTATTAAAAGCGCGGGCGTGTCTTGTTAGTATATAGTGCGACAACGCTATGAAGTCCGGTGAGAGGCGCTACGATCGCGGATAACTCTGTTGGATTAGGCATACAAAGTGACATAACAGACGTACCTGTTGGTCTATAAGAAGGAACAAAGATAAAATTGTAATTTCCAAGCTGAAAACTGTCCACAAATACATTTTGACAGCCATTACTGACCGTACTGGTTTTTGTATGAAGACGACGATAGCGTAAGCACTCGGCATAGCGAAAAAATCGGACATAAAATTTTAATTAATCGGAAAAATTAAAGATATTACTACGCAATTTTATTAATTTGTGCAAAAATTGAAGCTATCTGTTACGGACAGCTACGTTAACCCCTTATGCGGATAAGCCCCCATACTAGTTGCGGGGTACGAGGCAGCGCGAGGGGTGAAGGATCAAGTGTAGTGGGACGCCAGCTATGTTCGCGAGCTCCGCCCACAGCGAAGGTGCGTGCTTGCAACACGTGCGAGCTAAGCCCCTCAAAACACTGCATATACATAAATGAGGCAAGGGCGGACAGGGTCGCGCTAGTCGACGCCTTGAGACCGCAGCCAACACCCTTGGTGCCTGGTTTCGGAAAAAAAGGATCGAAACAAACCCTACCAAAAGCGCGGCTCACTACTTTTCCCGCCACAAAATGGCTCGTCTTCCATCCGTCACACTCATGGACAGCTCAATACCATGGGAAGACAAAGTTAAATACTTAGGTGTCATCCTGGACTCTAAACTCAACTTCTTCGCTCACGTGACCCGGGTTAGATACCGCGCGGCTTTTATATTAGGTCGTCTTTCCACATTACTCAATAAAAAGAGCAAAATGTCCCTTCGGAACAAGGTGACACTTTATAAATCAGTAGTACGTCCCGTCATGACGTATGCTAGTCCGGTAATTAAGCTAGCTTCAGGTGATTCAGAATAGATTTTTACGAAGAGCTACGGAAGCCCCGTGGTACATGCACAATAGTGATCTGCACATAGACCTGGTCTTGTCCACCATAGCCTAGCACCTGAAGTTGGCGTCGCGTCATTATTTTGACTCCGCCGTCGGGCACCCTAATCCGATAGTTGTAGGTGCCGTCACCAACAATCCAATCGCGCTCTGTCAATTTCGCCATGATTATCGTAGACCTAGGCACGTCCTTGACTATCAAGATGATGCAACTACCATCCCTAGGGTTAAACAACTTCGCAGTCACACCACACACCGCAGTCGCTGCCGACTACGGAAATCATTCTCGCGATACGGCCTCATAGCTGGCAGGTTTTCACCTGTCAACGATAGAAGCGTAGCTGGATTTTCTCCCAGCGCTAACGCTTTCCGAAGTGGTAGTAATGTTAGATACATCAATATAAACAATAATCAGACAACAGCAACCGATCAAGCCGAGGTTCGGCCCTCTCGGGCAACCTTGAATCGGAATGCTAAATGCGTATTGAGTGACAGCCCCAGCCGAGGTCCCCTCTCGGGGGCCCTTGAGCCCCGTCGGAGTGACGGGGCCGCCGATGGGCTCGAAACAAGTCGGTGCCGCCACCGGAAGAATATACGTGAGTGTTTAAATATCAGTTTAGTATAATGTCTCACGAAAGTTTGTATAGTTTTATATATATTGTATATCGAAGATCGAAAAACACATTGGCACATGGGGGGGATTCGAACCCAGGACCTGCAGTTTACAAGTCAATCGGTTAACCCTTGTCACCGACGCTCTTACTAATATTATTTATTTATTTATTAGACAAGTACACACAACAGATAAATTATGCAACATTGACCAAAGTAATACAATATATAATACAACACAATAAAACTGATAATTTATCCAATAACAGTTGTACAATATTCATACAAAACAAACAAGTATAAAACACAAAAAAAAATTATATGAACAAAGCATTATAAATGCGAAAGTTTAGGTGTATGGATGTTGTTTACCTAACAGTGGTAGAGCCTGCTTTAACATCTTCATACGAATCGGCCCGGCTCGCCCAGTGAAATACCACGACCACACAGAAGACAGGCGTCAAGTGGAAGCTTTTCCACGTATATACAGTCTGATGAGTGTGCGTCCTGGAGGCCTAATTTTAGTTCTCTTTCTCTTCCCATCTTTTTTCTTATAAGGAAAGTATGGGAAGTGGATTTTCCGGATGAGAGGATGCATGGGAAGGGAAAATATTTTCTTTCTATACATCTTCTCCGTCGATTAAAGGTAAGCAACGCGTATGCAATTGCGATTTTAGTTGGCCGCTCACTCGTTTGCCATTTTATGACATAAAAGAAACTTAGGGTAGGCTCCGAGCCCCTCATCGGGGATGTATAGTGAGCTGATGATGATGAAGATTAGTAAGAAGTAAGATTGTGATGTCAGAAATGTACGGTTAGTCAGTCGAGTAATAAAAAGCAAAAAATACAAACGTTTTTAATATTAAAATAAATACATGTTATAGTCATTATAAATCACAATATTTTGGACGTACGTAAATTTTAGTCGAAAATCTGATATTTACGATTTTTTCGTTATTCTATAATATTATAGTAAAAGTGGATGAGATAGTGACTGAAATGGAGAGTCCTTCAAGTTTGTGTTGTTCAAGGGATAACCACCAAACTCGTCGCATGTCACCACCGACCACCATTCACCAGATATCAGAAGTTTTGACCGATTTCGTTGTTCACCTCAGATCATCACACATCACTTCGCGACACCAGTTTTCATTCGGTAGAAGAAATTCGCGAGGAGGAGTTACGTCGATGATATTCACAATCGGTTTCACAGGTTAACGCTAACTTAGAGGCTAGTTTGACTAGAAGAGATTGGAATGTGAGGGCGGCGGCAGGAAGCGGTCAGTGTCGCGCGGCTCGGCGCTGAGGTAGGTGGTGTCGGTGTGCGCGGAGGCGGGGTCGGCGGCGGCGGCGGCGGCGGCGGAGGCGGGCGGCGCGGCCCAGCTGAGCCAGCGCGCGGCGGCGCGGTCGGGCGGCGCGCGCCAGGGCGGCTCGTCGGCCAGCGGCAGCGGCAGCGCGTCCAGCGGCACGTCCAGGCAGGGCGTGAGCAGGCGCGGGGAGCCACTGAGCCGCGCCGCCAGCTCCGCCGCGCTGGGCCGCGCGCGCTGCTCGCGCTGCCAGCACCACTTTATCAGCGCCTCTCTGCCACACAGACAAATACATTGTTCAAAGCAATATTTTCTCTTTATAATATTAGTACAGGATGAAGGAATATTGAGGACGGAATATAGTGAAGAGTACACGAAGACGTGGTCATAAGCTGCACTATTCAATATAAAAAAAAGATGGCAACCTGCCTGTACTGGCCGGCGTGGTGCCTAGGACGTACATAATTTTTTATTTTAGTACATCAAAGATGTCATCATTGTCCTACTTTACAACATGTTCTTTTTTATATTCATCATCATAGGTCCCCACCGAGGGCCTCGGAGCCTACCCTGAGTTAGAGGCGACTAGGCCATAGTCAAACACGCTCGCCAAGTGCGAGTTGGTTGACTTCACACATATCTTTGAATTTCTTCCCAGATATGTGCATCACGATATTTTCCTTCACCGTAAGATTTTTTTATAATTCAACAGTGGTAGAGCCCGCTTTAACATCTTCGCACGAATTGGCCCGGCTCGCCCGGTGAAATACCACGACCACACAGAAGACAGGCGTCAAGTGGAAGCTATTCCACGTATATACAGTCTGAAGAGTGTGCGTCCTGGAGGCCTAATTTAGTCCTCTTTCCCTTTCCATCCTTTTCTTTATAAGGAAAGGATGGGAAGTGGAAGTGGACTTTCCGGATGAGAGGAAGCATGGAAAGGGAAGATATTTTCTTTCTGTGCATTCTCTCCTCCGTCGATTAAAGGTAGGCAACGCATATGTAATTGCGTATATCTATGGGCAACGGTCACTTCGCTATTTCAGCGGTGGCAAACAAGCAAGCGGTCATTCACAGAAGACTTATTGACTTTTAACTAAAATTGATCTTATTTTAAATTTGCCACAAAAAACTGTACTCCTGCAAGGCAGATCCCACCTTACGGCAGTCAGGGCGTGTTGAGATGCCAATGATAGCAATGCACTCACAGCGGCGGCGCGAGGCCCGGCGGCAGGTCCAGCGTGTGCCCGGCCTTGACGCGCGCTAGCACCTCGGCGTTGCTGAGCCCCTGGAACGGCAGCGAGCCGAAGGTGACTATCTCGTACAGCAGTACGCCGAAGGACCAGACGTCCGAGGCCGCGGAGAAGACGCCCAGCGCCAGGCTCTCCGGCGCCATCCAGCGCACCGGCAGCATGCCCTTGCGACTGAAGCGGTAGTAGTCGTTCTCGAACACGAGCCGCGTCATGCCGAAGTCGGCCAGCTTGAGCACGCGCCGCGCCGACACCAGGCAGTTGCGCGCCGCCACGTCGCGGTGCACGTAGCGCAGCCGCGCCAGGTACGCCAGCGCGCGCGCCGCGTCGCCCGCCATCGCCGTCAGCCGGCGCGCCGACACCTCGTCCGCCGGCCCCTCCGCGCCCACGTCCGCGCCCTCGCCCGCGCCTTCGCCGGCGCCCACGCCCTCGCCCGCGCCCTCGCCCGCCAGCGCCAGGTGCCGGCGCGCCAGCAGGTAGTTCTTCAGGTCCCCGTAAAGCATGAACTCCATCACGGTGCACACCGGCTCCGTCTTGGTGACGACGGCGAGTAGGCGCACTATGTTCTTGTGGTCGAAGCGCTTCATCGCCTCCGCCTCCGAGAGAAAGTCGAGCTTCTCCTCGGTGGTGGCACCGGCCTTTAGCGTCTTGACGGCCACTGCCGTCCAGGCGCGCGCCTCGCCCAGCAGCGCGTGCCCGCCGTACACGGTGCCGAACGCGCCCATGCCGAGCTTGCGGTTGATGACGACGCGCTCCCGCGGCACCTCCCAGCGGTCGAGGCCGTCGCGAGCGGGGCCCACCGGGCGCAGCGCCAGCGCGGCGAGGCGCGCGCGGCACTCGCGCTCGGCGCGCCGCTTGCAGTGCAGCGCGGCGGCCGCTAGCACGGCCATGGCCAGCACGAGCAGCAGCGCCGCCAGCGCCACGCCGGCCGCGCGGCAGTCGGCGCGCAGCAGCTGGGCCAGCGGGCGCAACGCGCAGTTGTCGTCGCCGCCGTCACCGGGCGGGGCGCCGTCCGGTGTGCGCCAGCGCGGGGCGCCGAGGTGCAGCGGGCCGTTCCGGCGCCACCGGCCGACGGCGCGACGCGATCCGTTCTCCCACTGCAGCAGCAGCAGGGGCGCCACGCGCACGGCGCCCGCGCCCTCGCGCGCCCACCGGAATCTCCCCGTCAGCCCGACGTATTCGGTTCCCGTCGCGTTTTCGATGAGACTTCTGCGGAATTAAATTAAAAAAGTTGAAACGAAGCGTCCGGGCGATGTGATCCTCGCACATATCATAAAGCGGTCATATTTGTTATGTCTTTTTAGCTGCGATGCTTAGAAGTTGGATTTTAAAAGTGTACCACTAGGGTCTGACCGGACTGTGTCGGGGTCGTGCAGGTCGGCGAGGCGCGCGGGCTGCGCGGCCAGCACGCGGTCCAGCGCGCTCGCCCACAGCCGCAGCACGTCGTACAGCAGCGCCGCCGTGCCCGCCGCGCCCTCGTCGCACGAGCCGCCCGCGCCCACACCAGCGCCCGCGCCCACGCCGCGGCGCGCCCATGCCGCGCAGCGCGCCGCCCACTGCCGCCGCCACGCAGTCTGCCGGACAAAGTGCCACTATTACTGACACATAAAAACATCATGATACGAGATCGACGAATCTCTCCTGAGAACGAACAATCACCTAACCATAGTCAACCACGCTGGCCAATTCACGGTTTTCACGGTATTCTATACAAGACCAAAACATGCCCTTAAAAAACATGAAATACACATAATAATCAACGTATTTTGCTCATTTTAATTAGCAAATTAAAAAAAGTTAATTAAGGTACGTTTTATTTTAAAATATTTATTTAAAATGGAAGCAGTTAAAATGTTAAAAGGTATGGGACCGCCAAGCCAACATCAAGCTTTTATCATTTACATTGTTGGCGCCGTTTTTGCTACGCCCTAATAGATGGCGCTGTGGCGAGACCGTATTTGTCTAAACACGATGTTGAAGTACCTTGTCTCGCCACATATACTTAACAGCCGGTCACGGACACCGGTCGAGGTTCAGGCTAAGCGCCATCTGCGCTTGGCCACCTCAAGCCCGGTGAAGCTGTAAATGCCTCCTCAAGGCAAACAGTGACTACTCAGTCACAAATACAAACACGGACACCGGTGGTGTTTGGTTCGGTGTTGTCATTGCGTTTGTTGGTTGTTATTGTTGTCGTTACGTTTTGTAGTTTCCGTTCGTTTCGTTGTGCGTTGGTCGAGTCGTCCAAATTTCGGACAAAGTTGCGTAGGAAACAAACATACATAATAAAACAAGACAAGACTGCCAATGATGCGACGCGCGATGTATTGGACTGATTAATCTCTGGACATATCGATGAAAATTCTCTCGTTCGTACGCGGTGCGTTCGGCAGTCGCAAACATTTACATTGTTGGCATCTGCCGAACGCATGTAATATAAATACTCACGATATCTTGAACATATCGGTCCGGTGCCTGGGCTCGTTGCGTGCTCGTCGCCTCGGCGTCGGCATCAGACGGCAAAGCGGCGACCTCATCGCGCCACGCGGCCAGCCACTCTGCCGCGAAGCTGAGGTGGCCGTCGGCGACGGCGTCCAGGTCGCGCTGGGCGCAGGCGGGTCGGTCCCCCGGGCGCGCGCGCAGCCAGCCGGCCGGCAGCGCGCCGGGCAGCAACCACACCGCGCCCGCGCCCGGTGCCAGGCCCGCGCGTGCCCCCGCGCACAGTGCCGCGCGCACCACGCGCGCGTCCTCCGCCGCCACCACCACCACGCGCGCGCCGGACGCCGCCACGCGCCGCGCCCACTGCTCGCCCGCCGCACCACACGCCGCACCACACGC